CAGTGAGATGATATCTTTTTTTAAAAAGTTTTAAAAAATTTAAATGTGCCCAGCATTGAGTAATTCTCTTAAGAAAGCCATTTGCCATGCTCTACATACCTTCACACCTGTTGATGGCCCCAACTACCCTATTCCTGAGGGGCCGAGTGTTGTGAAGCTGGGGCTTTGGCTCGTGGGAAGACCAGGACACGGTGTCCCACCAATCCATACAGGAACCCTAAAAAGGAAGCAAAGCTGTGACAAATCTGGCCTAGAACAGTGGGAGGTCCAAGGGGCTGGACCATGGTTTGGGCTCACACAGGGTCAGAATCCCACCTCTGAGGCTGGGCTGCAGACTGGGAACTGCATCTTTCTGGCCTGTACAAGCCAGGCTCCGTCCACAGCACACAGGAGAAACACTCCTGGCCCCTGGGTGGGGCTGGGCTTCAGCTCTGGTGTCCTGGGAGCGTGGAGAAAGGGTATGTACAGAGGTGGCTGGCAGTTCCAGCGATGGGTGCTGGGAGCAAACGAGAGATGAAAATCAAGCTCTGTTTTCTGGCCCAAGGCAGATCCTCTGTGATTAGGAAGAAGGAACTCCACAAGTTTGAGGCTTTTCTCACAACCACCTGTGCTGGACCCCCTCAGTCTGCGCAGCATGAAAAGCATGGGACAAGGATTTGGGCAGATGTGGGCAAATCATATCACCTGAACTTCATGTGACAAGATTAAAAAACAAACTACAGGGCTGCGGATTTAGTTCAGTGGTTCCAGAGCCTGCCTCGCAAATGCAAGGAACCGTGTTCGATCCCTGGTACAAAACAAAAACAAAACCTACATAAAAGCACTTCCTAGCTGGGCATGATGGTGCTTGCCTGTAATCCCAGCACTCTGGGAGGCTGAGGCAGGAGGACTGCAAGTTCTGTGCCCAGCCTGGGCAATTTGGCAACTTAGCAAGACTCTGTCTCAAAATAAAAAATCAAAAAGGCTGGGCATGTAGCTCAGTTCAAAGGTCCTGGGTCAGTGCAGGGGGGGGGGAAGCATGCCAGTGAGGTCCTGAGACTTCACCCGCTGTCATGGTTGTGGTGGGCATCTCCCACTGCCGAGGGCACTGTCCACACACACACACACATTTTACCACATAAAGGTTTTTATTAAATTCAAATTCAGGAGCTCCAAAGCCTGAGGAAGACAAGGCAGGCTGCGGTTCCCTACCCCAGGGCTCCACTCCCCGCTCTACCTCCCCTCTCCCCTTCCTGCCTCTGCGAGGTCCCACGCCTCCCACCTAAGCTACCCGGCTACACCCTCCCGCC